TCCATCCATCTGTCCATCCATCCATCTGTCCATACATCCATTCATCTGTCCATCCATCCATCCATTCATCCAACCATCTGTCCATCCATCCGTCCATCCATCTGTCCATTCATCCATCCATTCATCCATCCATCCACCCATCCGTCCATCTGTCCATCCATCCATCCATCCATCCATCCATCCATCCATCCATCCATCCATCCATCCATCCATCCATCCATCCATCCATCCATCCATTCATCCATTCTTCCTCTTCTGGGAGAACTCCAAGGCGTTCCCAGGACAACCGAGAGACTACGTCTCTCCCGCGTGTCCTGGGTCTTCCCCGGGGTCTCCTCCCAGTCAGACATGCCTGAAGCACCTCCTTGGGGAGGCACCCAGGGAGCATCCTTCCAGATGTGTGAACCACCTCAACTGTCTCCTCTGGATGTGGAGGAGCAGTGGTTCTACTCCGAGTCTCTCCTGATAACTGAACTTCTCACCCTGTCTCTGAGAGTCCAGCTGTCCTGCAGAGGAAACTCATTTCAACCTCCTGGATCCACAATCTCATTCTTTCAGTCTCTACCAGAGTTCAGGACCAGAGGTGAGGGGAGGAACGTAGACCGACCAGTAAACAGAGAGCTTTGTCTTACAGCTCAGCTCCCTCTTCACCACAACAGACCGGCACAGAGTCCACAATACTGCAATTGCTGCATCAATCCATCTGTTAATCTCACGCTCCACTCTTCCCTCACTCATGAACAAAACCCTGAGATGCTTGAACTCCTCCACTGGAGGCAGAACCTCACCCTGAAGAGAACAATCCACACTTTTCCTTTTCAGACTGAGGACCATGACGTCAGACCTGGAGGTGCTGATGAATTAATAAATAATTCATTTGAAGTTTTTCTTCATTGTGCTTCATAAACACAGCCACAATATAAAATGTAAACTGTTCAGATGGAAACAGTGCTGCTTTTGTTCGGTGCACACGTGCAAGCTGTAGGAGGGTCCGAGACTCGCTTTTTATTGTATTTATTCCTCGACAGCTGAAGCGGTAAAAAGTTCACGGTGTGAAAGCATCCACTTTAACGTGATAAAAGACTTTTTTCTTTTTCTTCATTATCAGTTTTTAAACTCTATGGGAGTGAATGGAAAAAGGAAAATTAATGTTGAAGAACTGAAACTTGCGCCTTCATTTTTTGTCACTTTTTGTTTTGAGATGTGTTTTTTCACCACTTGTGACCGGACTCAGCTGCACTTTCCTGTCACCTCATTCTCCGGTAGAGTTTTTTCTTTTCTTGGACAAAGCTGACCGCGGTCGTGCTCTGCCAAAGAAAAGCTTTTATGCTCAGCACTATGCCTCATTATTATGTGCAGTATAAGTGTCCTCGATGATGACAATTACTCATGGAACACTAAACACTAATTCAGGCCCAGCTACGTGAGCACATGCCTCCAAACAGACAAATTATTCTTCCCTCCAAATTATCCACTGCGACACGAAAACTCATCACTTTTTGGTCACTACTTCCTGTTTTAATCTCATCTAGCACCTTGAAACATATTCCTACTGTTCTTCAAAAAATTGCTTCTGTTCACATAAGGGCAAAAAAAAAAAGGGGGATAAAAATAATGATTTGCTTTTATTTTTTCCTATTCACAGATATAATCTTTTATTTTATATTACTTTTATAATTATCTATTTGCCTAATCCTTACATTTATATTAGGATTAAAACCTGCTTTTACATCTCTTTCTCACAACAGACAGTGAAGACATCATCAAGCAAATAACACAAAATACTTCAGATGCTCAGAATTGAATTAAATTGGCCAAGAATAAAATAAGAATCATTTCAGTGAACAATTCCATGAAAACATCAACTGAGCCCCAAAAGGGGTGATCCAAAATAATTATCATAAACACGTAAGATTGGTTTAGTAACGGTTGAATATTAAATGCATTTCATTAAAACATCCAGATTACACTCTTGAATATTTGCAGGCAGAAGGAAATACTGTTTCTATAGCAACAATTAAATTTTCCCTAAAGATAACTTTTTTCTTCTTAATTTGGAAACTTATTAGTAAAATAGCTGGTGGGGATAAATAATCCCCTCCATGTGTTGCTGTCCCCTAAACACCAATCAGCCCGTGTGTAACTACATGTGTTCCTGTGCCGCTGCACCGTATCTGTGCCGTTACCGTGTCTCGCTCAGAAACAGGTTAGAGGGCTGGGGGCACCAGGTGGCACTGTGACACCCTCTGCAAGGGCTTACTGCCCAGTTAAGAGCTTCCTGGCACATCTTTGTTTAAGTCACCTGATTGATATCCATGCTGTTGTCACAGGTCAGAGGACGTGCCGATGTCAGGTCGTTGGAACCGAGGAAAGTGGAAACGATGCCATTCTGGTCCACCTTTCTGATTGTGGTGCCATCGACGAAATAAATCAGACCGTTCTTGTCCACGGCGATGCCTGTTGAAAGCGGGTGGTGGTGGCAGTGGGGGAGGGGGTGAGAAAAAAGAGAGGAAAACAGGGAAGAGAGCTTGTGAAAACAGGAAAACATAGTAGAGATGCCGCATCTTTGCTTGCATGACTCGGTGGACGGAACACGATGGATACATGTGTCAGGTTCGCCTTCCCATTATTCAGGTCACTGCAAAAAGCACAGCCATCAATAATTCACAGGCTGCTTTTCTGGTATTAAATAATTTCTCAGGCAGAAGTGGGAAAGGCTGTATTCATACGGTATAGATGCACTTGCCTTGTCTTGTAACCTCGCTGTCTGAAGCTGACCTCTGCAGGTGCTGGTGTCAATGAGTGGTGCCGTGAGGAGGTTTTTAGAGTCGCGCGGTCGTCGCAACCCGCACATCATTTGAGAAATAAACAAGCAAGGGAATAGACATGACAGCTTCTGACAAGTTTTCATGAAAGGGGTTAAAGACGAGCAGTTGCCGCGGTGACAAGCGGAAGCTGAATCGTCTCAGTTATTGAGTGTTAGCTCGAATCTCCGAGTTGAAGCCGAACCTGTGTGGAGTTGCAATAACCATATGTCCCAAACTGGGAAAATACATTAACGGGGCATGCCAGCCTCCACATCACTCTCCGTGTCACCGTGCTGCTTAATCGAGATCAGCGCCTAAGGGAATTCAGCCATACCTCACATGCAGGGAGGCTGTTTCCAGCCCGCCCCCCAGTTTTAACATGCTGCGGTTTGGGGTTTAATTTTAGAAACTGAGCTCTGCTGAAATACAGTGGATGATTATCCCAGCGTTTTTACAGGGATTCAAATGTTTGGAAGGTACTATAACTTTACTCTTACCTCCAGAGAATTTCTTTTTCAATGAAGTCTTTAAAAGCTTCTATGGAAGGTTAGTGGTTTGGTTTGACCTGTGGCTAGGGCTGCACAAGATTGCTTTCTGCTAAAACATTGACGAGCTGTGGGAGCTCGTGGTGAATCCTCGGGAGCTGGCTATCTGACAGCCTGAGAATCTCAGACAGATGAAATGTGTCACATTTGAGCAGAGTTCAGCAAATGTCTGAGAAGAGAAAAGGGAAGAAAAAATGGAGCCATCTGCTGTTTCTTCTCTTGTCTCGGCTCCCACCCACTCCATCATTAGAGTCGTTCCCTCAGATTGCTTTCACTCAAGCCTTTATCACCTAGCTCTAGCTGAACTATTGCAGTTGGCACTCAAAGCAGACAGCGACGAGCGCAAAACAATTCATCCGAGCCTTTTATTCCTGAGGAATTTATGGAAAAGGCAGCAATCATGGCACAAATGGACACGTGCTATCTGAACGTGGACAACAGGTTGTGTACAGATAGCACTTACTGGTTGTGGGCAGAAGTTACTTTACTGTGAGCTTTAAAAGCATCAAGTCGTTTTTACAAGAGCTTTTTGGCCAAAGGAGAAACAAACTCTCATATTGAGTTAATATTTAAGTGGTTTTTGACGAGAATGCCTCAATGGAAAAAAAGATGCTTTAATTTCTGGAGGGGATCACATTTTGATTGGGAGCATTACGTAGTTTTCATTTACAAAGTATTCATGTTTTCTTAGTAGACAACCCTGATTACTTTTAATTTAACATCAGGACCACAAACAAAATTAATTAATTTAAAAGAGTAAGCCATCGTCTGGCCCAGAGCCTGAAGCGTGCATAAATTTAAATCTAGCTGGTGTCACTTCTGGATGAGAAATCCATCAGAGGGCTCCACGACAACGCCGTTCATTCCAAATGGTACCTTTGGGTCCGGTGAGCGAGGCCTCCGGGGCTTTCCCTCCGTCTCCGCAGTGGTTCTCGTCAAAGGGCAGACAGTGTTCTCCGGTTCCTGCCACCACCTCGGCGTTGGACTGCAGGTCCTTGGTTCCACTCAGGATCTTGACGCGGTAGATCCGTCGTGAGTTGGTGTCTGACACGTACAGCTGGCCCGTCACTGGATCGGTTGCCAGGTAGTACCGGTGAGCTGGGTTGTTGCTGTGTTAAAGAAGAGAGTTCATCATAAATTCTAACTTCAGCCCATGTACTTCTTCAGAACTTCTTTATTTTTTACAATAAATCTGTTATTAGTGGCACAAATCCATGTCTAATTTGCAATTTAATTAATCTCTGTTATATTCCTTAAATTACTTGTAGCAGAGTACTGTAACTCAGACTTCCTCATCTCCACTGCGACAACAAGAAGCACTTAAAGCAATAACCCCAAAGTTCTGCCGGACCCAGCGGGTCACTCATTCAGGACAAAATGCACCATTATTCAATCTTATTTTAGTCCTTTCCCCCTTCTTGATTAACAATGTACTCCAAAGTGTTTTAACCATTGGGATTATTAAAATAGTTTTTCCATTCCAATTCTATTTTAATTAAATTCAATTCGAGCACAAAATAAGCTGTGATAAAATTAAGCCTCAACCATCTGGGACCGAGGTTCTCTTTAGAAAACTCCCCTCAGTGAATACTTTCAGTAAATTCAAGAAGAAATATAAAAAAATGTGACAACAAATCCATCAATAAATAAATAATGAAATTAAAACTTGCACACAAACATATGCTTTTTATAGATTGATCTGCAGGGTCCCTAATCGTCAGCACGAGTCGCTCAGCGAGCTCCGACCGGCAGCGCTGCAGCCGGTGATCAGAAGCACCGCTGCATAACCTAGATCAGGTGGAACATCCAGATGTTTGGTTGCTAAATGTGTTGAGGTGTGGTCAAGTGAACCACAGATCACCTTTAGACTCCGAGCAGTCCAACATCAAACAGACACAAACATTTACATTTGTTTTTATTATTCTACTTCTGGTCTACAATTATGTATTTCTACAATACTCCCACAATCAAGCCTATATCAAATAGAGTAAATGCTTTTAGAGTTCATGTAAAGAACATGCTGGGCAGAAATGATTGCAGACAAACGACTGCTGCACGGCGTGCACGCTGAACCTTTGTGCTCTCCGCAGTAACAGCGGGCTGAGCCTTTCAACAACACTCTGGATCTGTAATGTGTTTGTGTGGGCAACATCTGCAATCTGCTTAAAACAACTGTTTCAAAAAGTTTGCCACTTGACTGTAAAAAATCCAAACGACGTGTTAAGTTTTCAAGAAAGCATGAACTGCAGTTTGTGGAATCAAGCCAAGCTCATTACCAGAGGAAAAGAAAAACTAACAGTGACGAGGTAAAAGCAAGATTTATTTTTCTTTCAGTGTTATAAACTTAATTCACCCACAGTACTATTAATAAAAAATTAGCTAAATAATACCCAGTCCTTTAAACTATCATTAAGAACGTTATTTTTTACAACATGCACCGTACACGGCTAACTGTGCGAATGCTTATTAAACACTCACACTATTGTGATCCTGTTAATATTTATTATTCCAGGTTCTTTAAACTATTCTGTACATTTTTCAGCATCTTTCTTCATCCACAATTTTTGTGCTATTTCAACAAATCATAAAAGGTTCAGCTCATTCAGGACAATCTTGCTATGACTTTTGGTATTGATGCAACTTTAGCTTTTTGAAATATTTAGCCTTTTCTACCACGTTCTCCTCATAGAAAATGAATTGAGCTCATTTTCCATCCTTCAGATCTTTAGATCTGTTTACAACCTTTTACTGCTCCTTTCACATTTTTTCTGCTTCAGCTTCTTTCAGCTTCCTGCTGCAAAATAAAAATCAGCTTCTTTCAGCAAATTTCAGCTGTTTTTTCAGCTGTTTTGTGCTCCTTTCAGGCTCTTTCTGCTAACTACAACATTTTTGTGCTTCTTCTAACATCTTTCTGCTAATTTCAGCTTGCTATGCTCCTTACAGCTCATTTCTGCAAGTTTCAGCTTTTTTTGCTATTTCAATTACAATTTAGCTGTTTTTATGCTAATTTAAGCTTTTTCAGCTAATATCACATTTTTTTGCACTCCAACTTTTTTCAACCTAATTCAGCAAAATTGTGCTCTTTCCACTCACTTCTGGTAATTTAAGTTTCTATCTGTTTTTTAGCTCCTTTTCAGCTGTTACTTAGCTAATTTCAGCTTTTTTTTCCCCAGATAATTTCCACTTTTATGTGCTCATTTCTGCTTCTTACAGCCTAACTGGGCAAACGTGCTTTTTTTGCTTTCTTCTTCTAATTTAAGCTTGTTCTACATTTTCAGACAACTTTTTTTTTTGTTGCAAAAAAGGCAATTTACATATTTCAGATGTAAGCAATGTTTAGCTAATTTCAGCTGTTTTCAGATATATTCAAGTTTTTCATAGTATTTTTTGCTAATTTCAACATAATTAATGTCTTTTTTAGTAATTTCAACTTGTTATGCTTCTTTCAGGTTTTTTTTTCTGTTGGTTTCAGCTGTTTCTGCTACTTCAGCTACATTGTAACTGTTTTTATACTAAATTTAGCCTTTTCAGCTAATTCTACTTTTTTTTTTTTTAGCTCATTTTAGCTCTTTCCACTTCCTTCTGGTAGTTGAAACTACTTTCTGTCTTTTCAGCTTCTTTTCAGCTTTTTTTTTTTTTTCTAATTTCAGCTTATTTTGGCTAATTTCCTGTTTGTGCTCATTTCTGCTAATACCTAATTCAGCAAAAATGCATTCTTTCTTCTGCTAATTAAGACTTTTTTTCTTCCATTTCAGCTACAATTCCAGATTTTCTTAGCTAAGTTCAGCTGTTTTTAGCAAGTTCTTCAGCAGTAATGCATTCATTGCATTTTCGCAGGAAATGCAATTTCTCTAGTTAAATGTAACTTTTCTGTTTAACGCACGGATCTTATGATCGGCTCCAGGTAGGTGCAAACACTGTTACGTGCACGAGTGGTAAACTTCAGAGGGAAGCAGTCCCTGAAAGTTTAACGTAAAGAAAACGAGCGGAGCAAAGGGAAAGGCGAAAGCCTGGGAGGGTGAAACGTGTAGAAAACAGAAGGTTGAACGTGGAATTGAGAGTAAATTTACCAGGATACCACCTCAGCGGGGGGTTCCAGTTTGCAAAGCAGAAAAGACAAGTTGTGAGCCAGATCATTTCATCTGTGATCAGACTCCTGCGGGGACGAGCCTCTGGAAATCACAGGAACCACTGGCTTATGCTAACAAAGTGTGACAATTAATGACATCTCTTCCTGCTTGTTTGCAATATTTAGCTGTCAAATACAAATATAGAGAAAATTAGGAATCTAAAAATAGTAAAACATATGACTGATGATTAATCTGCATATCACTGTACAGTAATTAATTTATGGCTGGGTGTGATTTCTAAACATATGAGATATTTCTAACACAATTGAATCAAGCCAGAATAAATGCATATTAGGTGCTCAAATATAATTAAAAAGCTCCAAACAGATGCAGTTACTATATATATATATATATATATATATATATATATATATATATAAACTTGCTTTATTGTGCAGTAGTAAACATTGCTGCCATGTTTCTACTGCAGCTTAATGTGATCTCGCTCCATATTCCTTCGGCTGTGGAAGCGAATAATGTGACTGGAAACCAGCGTGGCAGTGAAACATCTTTGTAAAATGATAAAATGCAGTCGTAAAACTTGATGGCCAATACGAGTCAATGTTCAAAACAGGTGGCTGCTATGAAGTTCCTATAAAATATTCAGCAAGTCAAACATAAGTAACCCCGTTTTTTTACAGTCTACCTGCGGGGGGTCCACATAATAAATGAGACACGTTCTGGTGTTTTACAGTCCAATATAACATTTAAGCAATAAATATTATCATTGTGTGGGACACATCATGTATGTTTAAAGAGACATTTTATGTGATCTTGATATTACAAACAGCTTGTTAGTCTCATATATATATATATATGTATATATATATATAAATTGATAAAGTTCTCTGCATCTTTCACTACGTGTCAACAGTTTGACCTCACCTGTCACAGGTGTTAAAGCCGGTGCCAGTCAATCCGTGGCCAGGCAGTCACAGAGTCCCAGGAGCAGGAAATGCCCTGCAGGGATCCTCAAACCTCCGACTGATCCAGGATTCAGCAGCTCTCGAAGCATCAAGCTGCTGCTTGTCACTCTGTCTCCATGCTGCCTTCACTGTCATGCCACTGCTGCTCAGACAAGTTTCAACACTTCGCTAACAGCTCGACAGTTTCATCTAATTCATTCTCTTGGAAAGTTTATAATCTGTTTTAAACCAATCTTTGTGTTTCGTTAACACAACGCCGTGGAGTCGGCACCCTTTTCATCCCGCCGAGCGTTTGACATGACAGGAAAATTCACTGCAGGAATCACAAAAGTGAGATTTGAACCTCACCCAAAGGTCACTCGTCCTGTTTTCATAATCTGATCATCCCAGCGGTGGAGTTGCTTTAGCTGAAGTCCCTGCAGTTTGCTGTGCGCAGCACCTCTTGCACTTGTCATGTTAATCACTGGGACAAGCTAATTGCCACCAATATGCATCTTCACTTGATACAGTGCCGTTGCCATATTCATGAATACAAAGCAGTTGTGTAAGCCCCTCCGGATGGGAACATCTGCCAAACACCATCACTAGAAATGTAATTATGAGCTTTGCAATGATACTGAACTTTACTGCAGAACTCTGCTGTTTCGCTGTAGAACATGGAGGCGTTCCTTCGCATAATGTCTCAAATCTGTGAAGGCTGCCAATGCACATTTTCCCGTTTTACAAAAAGCAGATGTACTAATTCTGAAAGTTCACGCTCGCTCCCTCTTGTTTAGACGCAATCAAGCTATCGCTGATTTGCAGTAATTACAAAAGGTAATCACTGATGCTTTAACAACTGTAAAAGGCAGAGTTATTCATGTGTTGACGAAGACGGTGACGAGCAGACAGAAACAAAGCAGGCACCAACGTGAAACCACCTACCTGTGTCTAAAGTCCTTATTTCTATGAAGCAGCGGAAGCAGGAAAAGAGAGAAAGAATAAATAGAGACAATCAATTCGATACGTGTTGAAGGGGATATGTTAACTTGTTATTCTCAGGACTATTATTTTCCCATTTGTTTTGTCACATGAGTGACAGCTTTTTGAAAAGAGATCGGAATAAACACCCTTTATCATTTATGTTTCTCCTTTCTGGAATCGCACGCAGTCAGCAGATCTGGGGACGGAGGAAATAAAATAAAAATCAAAGTGAACGCATTATTTCTCTCAGAGTCTCGTGAAGAAACTCACAAAGTCAAAGTTGTCCCCTTGAAGCATCGACGCGTGGGCAGAGAAGGTCAAACGCTCCGACGGTGTGGCAGATTGTGTCGAGGTGGAGATCTAACCCACAGAGAGGAAAACATGTCCTCCTGTGTTCTCCAGGCGCCATCACCACTGCTATTCTCAATTTGACCACTCATATTGAAATATTGATTCTGCCACTTGCTGCACTGACCGCTGAAGCCAGAATATAAACATCGGCTTACGCTACCAGCAGAGGGACGAGGCTCCAGCTGGATGAGCCGAAGGACAGGAAGAGAAAACTGGAACCGCGTGTACGTCTCCAACGCTTTCTTTCTGAAACAAGATTTTTCTGCTCTTATGGTTTTTAATGTTCGTTGGTTTTACAGCAAATGAGCCTGAAGCTAATAAAGACATATTTTGATAATATCCTGATTCATGCTCAATAATCCAGGTAGAAAAATCCATTAAAAAATTAAAATTGTTGAAACTAGGGATGCACATTATTGGATTTTTGGCCGATATGTTAAAACTTATTTGGCCAATAACCGATACAATACCAATATTTTTGTTCCTAGACTTTTACAAAGACTACAGGTTTCTCTGCAGTGGAATTAAAATAATATATTATTCTGCACGGTCTTTGTCAGTTTGACCTGCTAACAAATGCAGCTGCCAAAAAGGGGCTGACACTGATGTAACACTTCAACTTGGATCATGTTTATTGTCACATTTATTGATGACATTTACTCTAACACGACGACGACACTCGAACAGTGCACATTTGTGACTTTTCACAAATCTAAACTCAACGGCGTGCGTGACGTCATAACATTGTGCTGGCGCTGCAGGCCTCCTTGTCACCAAATATTATTTCATGATATTTAACTTTATCGCTAAAATCAGCCGATACCATGCCGCCAATATCGTGCATCGCTAGATGAAACGTTTCATCTTTAATCCAAAAGACTTCTTCAGTCAGAGGAGCTGCAACAAACAGAACCTTCTCATGGTGGATCAACCAGTTTGCTGCTGACAGCCAAAACTAGCTGTTCACATGATGGAGGACCATCAGACTAACGACCGATCGTTAGTGCCCTGAAGGTCGCTTGCTATTCACAGAGGGCTGAGTGATACTAGCAATAACAGCATTGTGAGGGGGACAGTTGAACACGGAGGTTCCTCCACCGTTTAATGATGGACTGGTTCTCTTCACAAAGATGGCCTCCTTCTCTCCTCTCTCAAACCATCGTTCCTCTCTGTCCAGGATGTGAACATCTTCATCTCTGGAAGAGTGACCTCTGACCTGGAGATGAGGGTAGACCTCAGAGTCTGGTTTAGAGGTCACTCGTTCAGGGATGAAGATGTTCACATCCTTTATGGAGAGGAACGATGGTTTGAGAGAGGATCGAAGGAGGCCATCTTTGTGAAGAGAACCAGTCTGTCATTAAAAAGGGGCGGAGCCTCCGTGTCCAACTCTGCTTCTCTTACAATGCTGTTATTGTTAGTATCACTCAGCCTCCTGTGGATAGCAAGCGGCCACCAGGGCACTAACGATCAAATGTTAGGCTGATGATCCTCCCCATCATGGGAACAGCTGGTTCTGGATGTCAACAACAAACTGGTTGATCCACCATGAGAAGGTGCTCTTTATAGAACTGAGTTTGTTGCAGCTCCTCAGACTGAAGAAGTCCTTTAGATAAAAACTGAAACATTTCAACAACAAGAAACTGTCCAGAGGACCAGACTTAACTTTGTGGGATATTTTGATGTAATGATGCAATAAAGCCAACAAGTTTTGTGTTTTGCCTTCAGTCGTTCCTAAACGTAAAGCAGCTGCTTGGGGTCATAAACTAGTTCCTAAACTGTTTTTCATCTCACAAAGTGCTGATCATGCATGATGTTTTACAGCAGCGCCCTGTCTTCCATCCACACAGCTTCTAACACGAGCGACGCAGCGGCTGAGGCCAGCAGGTGCTTCAACAGACGCTCAGGGTGAAAGTTTAGAGTTCCTCTCAGCACCCCTGACACTATCGGACAAAGCCACGTGACGGTCCCTGCCAACAGACTGATGACCTCTCTCATTTTAAGGCAGTTTTTTAATGTTTTTGTCATGTACGTGTCTCCTGGACGAAGGCGACCCGACGCACATTTAATCAACATCTGCCACTTTGAAATAAGCCAACTGGCCGAATCAGAGTCATGGCAGGGAGAAGCCAAGTTGGCATGAGGGCGTAAATCATCCCAATTACACGCTGAAGACAGGATGTCTTTCCTAATTATGGAAATGGATAGAGAAAAGATTACACATTTCTATGGGGAGGGGAAAAGATGTGTGAATTAAAATCTGCCCACTGTGCCATTTTAGTTTTCCTTCTGCTGCATGTGCTCAACACTCAATAGGAAGGGAGACGTCTTTATTTTTTTACATTTATGGAAGTCATTTAAAGTGTATTGCAGTTGTTTTTGTCTACGATGTTAAATCTGCATAACTTTAAAATACTTCTTAATTTTCATAAAGTTTATCCAGTAGAGTTATCCTTATATGCAAATTCAAATGTGACTGCATGCAGAAATGTGTATTTTAACATTATTATCAGTGAAAAAGCTTCTAAATGTTAAATAAATGGAAACGTTCCTTTTTATTTAACGTTGCGTTTTATTTTACCTGAGCTCCATGATGCTTGTCACGTTCCCGGAGGGGTAGATCCGGCGGATGAAATTGAAATCGCCAACGTAGAGGCTGCCATCGATGCCCCAGGCCAGAGCAACTGGCGCCAGCAGCTTGTTGCCCTGGGCCTGACCATTACAGCTGGGACAGGAAATGCTCCTGCGCCGTCCGTTCCCCATCACGGTGGAAACCACTGGAGGCTGGAGGGAGATGAACTGGTTCTCCCCGCTGCCTTTGTACAGGATACCTGACAAACAAAACATATGTTTACAGAGGGGAACGCACGGCTGGTGTCTGTCAGCGACGTCGTTCTTTAACCAACCAAATCTGAAACAAGCACAAACACAACCGACTGTAATCACACTTTTGTTTGTACAACTTATAAATGTTGATTTTTATTAACGTTAAAATGTAAATCCATCTTCAAGCTGAACATTTTCAAGGCATAAGTTTGTTTTTATAATAAATACAGTTAATAGACTTGTATCTATTTGTTAGTCTTCAACAGAACAACAAAATGAATAAAGGGATATTTTCATTAGCAAATTTTTAATAAACTGTTTGTTGTTGGTTTATTAAAAATTAAAGTTTTGAAATAATATTAGGAACTCTTTCCAAGTCAAGCCACAAACTTTAAACTGTTTTTAGACTGTTCAGGGACAAATGATCTCCATCTAAAACAAGTCACATTCAGAAACATCATCATCGTTTGAATAAACTCAGAGTTTCATATGTTTATAATTTATTACCTTTTTTTAAACTGTTATTTCACGTCAATTTTTTCTCAGCCAAGCTGCTCATAATAATGAGTAAAAGTAATTAAATATCTCTTTTATATCTCTCTACTCTAATTTTTATAAATTTTGTTCATAGAAAAAAATTGAATGTTGTGGTTTTTCTTTGGAAATCACTTTTACTGTCTGTATTTGTTGTTTTGGAGTTTGACCATCCATCGCTGCTCTTTGCAGATGATGTGGTCCTGTTGGTGTCACCGTGATCTTCAGCTCTCACTGGAGCGGTTCACAGCCGAGTGTGAAGCAGCTGGGATGAGAACCAGCACCTCCAAATCTGAGGTCATGGTCCTCAGTCAGAAAATGGTGGATTCCACTCTCCAGGTCGAGGGTGAGGTTCTGCCTCAAGTGGAGGAGTTCAAGTATCTCAGGGTTTTGTTCACGAGTGAGGGAAGAATGGAGCGTGAGACTGACAGATTAGTGAAGCATCTGCAGTATTGTGGACTCTGTACCGGTCTGTTGTGGTGAAGAGGGAGCTGAGCTGTAAGACAAAGCTCTCTGTTTACTGGTCGGTCTACGTTCCTCCCCTCACCTCTGGTCCTGAACTCTGGTAGAGACTGAAAGAATGAGATTGTGGATCCAGGAGGTTGAAATGAGTTTCCTCTGCAGGAGCTGGACTCTCCTTAGAGACAGGGTGAGAAGTTCAGTTATCAGGAGAGACTCAGAGTAGAACCACTGCTCCTCCACATCCAGAGGAGCCAGTTGAGGTGGTTCAGGCATCAATGGGGCTGAGATGGTGTAGAGGCAGGGCAGCCGGCTTGGGACCCGAAAGTCCCAGGTTCGATCCCCGGTCACTGCATACCGTGTGGTGTCTCTGGGCAGCACACCTCATCCCCAAAATGCACCCTGGGCACTTTCAATAGCTGCCCACTGCACCACCTGGTGGTGGATGGGTTAAATGCAGAGACTAATTTCGCCACTATATGGAAACATACAGGGCTGACATTATTATTATTATTATTATCTGGTAAGGATGCTCCCTGCTCCATGTCTGACTGGGAAGAGACCCCGAGGAAGACCCAGGACATGCTGGAGAGACTACGTCTCTCAGTTGGTCTAGGAACACCTTGGAGTCCTCCCAGAAGAGCTGGAAGAGGCTGTGGAGAGAGATGTCTGGACCTCCCTGCTCAAGATGCTGCTCCTGAGACCTGAGTCCAGAACAAGAGGAAGATGATGGATGGGTTGATAGATGAGTGGATGGATAGATGATGGAAGGAGGGATGGATGGATGGATGGTTGGATGGATCATGGATGGATGGAAGGATGATGGATGGATGGGTGGATGAATGGATGGGTGGATGGATGGATGGATGGATGGGTTGATAGATGGGTGGATGGATGGATGAATGGATGGATGGACAGATGGATGGACGGGTGGATGGATGGATGGACAGATGGATGGACGGGTGGATGGATGGATGGACAGATGGATGGATGGTTGGATGGATGGATGGATGGATGGTTGGATGGAT